GCGGGAACCCGCCCGGTGCCCCTGGTCTGCTGGAGACGGTCTCCAGCAGACCAGGGGCACCAGAGCAGCTTATGAACGGGGCTCTCTCGCCCCGGAGCTCGCAGGTAGCAATCCGCCACCTCGACCTCCGGGGCGAAAAAGCCCCATTCGTAAGTGCGGATCCGACATAAGTCGGATATGCGTAAGTCGGGGACTGCCTGTACACATATTCATGAATAGCTGTAAATTATCAGTAGGCTCATTAATAGTTAAGCTTTAGGAAGGGTTTCTGCTTGTGCAGTACAAACTTTAACCAATCCCCTTGCCATTTTTTCAGAAAGACCCCTACATTTGGGTTATGATTCTCTTTGTTTACCACCTCCATGAAAAAGCCTTCCTTTTAGCTATAACATTGTATAGCTAAATAAATTCCCTGGTCCCTATTCCAAATGGATAAATAGACACTGAAACTGAATAGTTTTTAAAAAGCAGTTGTGAAAATATGATGTACAGGTTACAGGACAAGCAGTCCCCGGGTTACGTACAAGATAGGGACTGTAGGTTTGTTCTTAAGTTGAATTTGTATGTAAGTCGGAACTGGTACATATTGTAGGGGAAACTCTAGCCAAACATTTCTCCAGAGCTCAGTTTTATTCTCCCACACCTCACTTCCCTCAGTCCTTTATTCTCAAGCTGAGGTGTCTGCTGAGAAAAGCCGCTCCGCGTCTCCCTGGTCTGCTGGGTGGGGTGCTAGCTTCGCGTCTCCCTGGTCTGCTAGGGGGAAAAGCAGCTAGTGTGGGGTTGCCTCACCCCGTTTGTAAGTAGGGATCCGATGTAAGTCGGATCCATGTAACCCGGGGACTGCCTGTACATGTTATTAAAAATATAATTCTAAATAATGAAGACATTTGATTTTTGGCTTACAGACCTTCTGCAGTTGAAACAATATACTTCATTTGTAGATGCATCTATGATTTCTACTTTTTCCAGAAACCAGCCACTTGCTATAGAAGAAAAAAAGAGAGCAAGTAGACATTTAATACAATTCAAATGCAAACAAAATATAGAAAAAAAGTTTCATTTTCCAGTCCATCTGTGATTCAGCACCATTGCATGGATCTAGTAAAAATAACAAGACTGAAACATGGATAATTGAAGTTATTACCAACTTTTCTTCATTTTGAAGAAGATTCCTTCAAGACATTTTTGACAGAAAAAAAAGATAAGCTTTGATTACTCCTAAAATCTTTTTTTTCTTTTCAGCACTGAAAGGAGCAGTTAGTAAGTTAAATGAAGCAGAGTGCACAGCCATATGGCACAAGTTATTGAAATTAGATTTTACTGCTTATTTCCAGTGTGAAATGTTATCTAAGAACATAGTACATGGCTAATGTATTTTGATCTACATTAGCTGCCAACGTAATTTAAAAAAAATCTGAAAGAATTTGCAAGTGGAAAGAATCCATAAGGAAACATTGTTCTTAAGGGAAAACAGGGTTTTATGGTTGATTTTTTTTATTTTTAATGAATTTATCTGGATTTGTGAAAGCTAATTGGCTAGTATGAATGTTTCTTATATCAGCATGTTTTCAGATCCAATTCACAAAATAACCCTATCCAGGACAATACTTAAAGATGTGGTTAACTTGAAGTACGTACATAAGTCTGATTGAAGTCAATGGACCTACAGTGGAAGAAAGGGAGAGAGTAGGGATTTCATGATCTTCAGGAGTGAAGAACCCTGCCCAGTAGACTTTGAAAAGACATCTTTCACATTTTTATTTTGGAAGTTTTTGTCTATAAACAAACTAGTACCTTTCTGGAAAGTTTTGCCAAATGGAGAAATATCTGTGATCTTGCTCCACAGTTTACTTATGCCACAGCACTCTTTGTTTCATTTAATATTACAGTGTTCACAGTACTTTAACGGTAGTGAGTTCAGTACTGCTTTCTTAGGGTATGTCTACACTACCCTCCTAATTCGAACTAGGAGGGTAATGTAGGCATACTGCACTTGCAAATGAAGCCCGGGGGGTAATGTAGGCATACCGCACTTGCAAATGAAGCCCGGGATTTGAATTTCCCGGGCTTCATTTGCATGAAGCCGGCCGGCGCCATTTTTAAATGCCGGCGGTTCGAACCCCGTGCCGCGCGGCTACACGCAGCACGGAGTAGCTAGTTCGGATTAGGAAGCCTAATCGTGGAATGAGGAGTACAGCTAGTTCGGATTAGGAAGCCTAATCCGAACTAGCTACTCCATGCTGCGGCACGGGGTTCGAACTGCCGGCATTTAAAAATGGCGCCGGCTGGCTTCATACAAATGAAGCCAGGGAAATTCAAATCCCAGGCTTCATTTGCAAGTGCGGTATGCCTACATTACCCTCCTAGTTCGAATTAGGAGGGTAGTGTAGACATACCCTAAGTGTTTGTTTGCTAGAAGTTGCATTTGACTGTAAAAAATATTTTGTGAATGCAGTTGGAAATCAATTAGAAAAATACTATTATTTGTTGAAAATGTATATTGACACCTCCGTGCGTAATTTGTGTGTGTTGGGGATAAGGCACAATATTTAATCTGTTTTGCAAAACTATGGAAAAAGTATAAAACAGGACAAAAAATTCTTTACAAAACAGAATCTTGCCTATTTGCATAAAAAGGTCAAAGCTTGCTAAAGTTTCTCATTGCTTATGAATGGTTATTAACTGATAACTACATAGGACCTAGGATGTAAGAATGCCAACATTCTGAGTTTCCAGTTCCCAAGTGTAACTTAGAAAAATAGTGATGTACTTTTGGCACTCCACTAATTAAATCTTCTGAATTGTTTCATATATCACAGATACTACTCATAAGATATGACATTTCCTATAAATCTCTGTGACTCAGCGTGTATTATGATTATTAAATCTCTCTCTCTCTCTCTCTCTCTCTCTCTCACACACACACACACACACACACACACACAGAAAGACATTGTTGCTGTCCTTAAGAGTTGACAGTTTGAGGCTTTATCTGTTATCCCTCAAACTCCAATTGACCTTAATGAGAGTCCCATGCTTGGGAGACTTGCGAAGTTGGGGACTATGTTAGACAATGTCAACAAATGTAAGACAGGACACTGCATGGCATGCATTTTAAAGGGGAGTGTGGGGTTACAGGTGACGTGCAGCAGAAAGGAAGTGTTCTTTCTGGAGCAGAGACAGTCTTTTAGTTCTGTGTAGGTACACTGCCTAGCACAGTGGGGTCCTGGACTAGGCCTGGGTTTCCTAGACACCATAGTAACATATGTAATAACAATCATCATCATAAGTATTGCTTGAAAAGAGTTGTAGGGAGTGATTTGAAGGACAAGAGTGAAGGAGTTAGGTGGATGACAATACAACAGCCATTCTGAGCACAGAGGTCAGTACTATGGAATGTGGGGTAAGAAGCAATGAGACAGAGAGCAAGGATAGACTTGTTGTGGTGATATTGGTCTGGGATTCAGAAGACCTGGATGCTGGATTCAATTTCTGGCTGTGTCACAGACTTGTGTGTGACCCTGTGTGAGTTCCCAGGCCCTTAGTTCGCTATCAGTAAATTGAAGAGAATAATCTTTCCTTTCCTTCCTCATGATACAATCAACATTTTTTGTTAGTCTCTAAGGTGCTGCAGAACTATTAGTTGTTTTTAATTTTTTTTCAGTTAGGGTACAGCTACACTGTGGTGGGGGGAGGGTTTCAAACAAAGTATGCAAATTGCACTCATATTTGCATATCTTCTTCCAATTTTTTTTCCAGAAGAGGATTTTCTGATATTTGGCCCATCTACAGAGGGCCAAATGTCAGGAAAAAAACCTTTTTTGGAAGGCCCCTGTACATGTTTTACAAGGAATAAGGGGATTTACAGACTAAGGGTATGTCTATATTACCACCCTAGTTCGAACTAGGGTGGTAGTATAGACATACCCTTAGTCTGTAAACCCCCTTATTCCTTGTAAAACATGTACAGGGGCCTTCCAAAAAAAGTTTTTTTCCTGACATTTGGCCCTCTGTAGATGGGCCAAATATCAGAAAATCCTCTTCTGGAAAAAAAATTGGAAGAAGATATGCAAATATGAATGCAATTTGCATACTTTGTTTGAAACCCTCCCCCCACCACAGTGTAGCTGTACCCTAACTGAAAAAAAATTAAAAACAACTAATAGTTCTGCAGCACCTTAGAGACTAACAAAAAATGTTGATTGGCTTCATTTGCAAGTTCGTATGACTACATTAACCATCCTAGTTCGAACTAGGGTGGTAGTGTAGACATACCCTAACACAGCTACCCCTTCCTTTCCTTTTCCAGACTTTTCTAGTTAGACTAAATTATGTGGGAAAGGATTAATTTCCTAGCCTCTAGTACAATAGTACCCCACGTTCTGTTGGGGTTTCTAAGCACCACTGTAACTGTATTAACAATAATAATAAATAAAAGGAATTTTAAGATGAAAGGTTGAAGGAGAGATTAAACAGTAATAGTAGAGTAGTGGGATTTAATTTATTATAGATATTTCAATAGATAATTTTTTAAACTTCCAAGTTAACCGTCAATCCAATTTGATGCATAATCACTGCAAAGTTTCCAGGTCATACAACTCACAAAAGAAATTGGGTGGGCTGTGACTGCCAGCAAAAAACTGTCCAACTTTGGAGGCAGCAGGAACTGCTGCCATCATCACAGATTGGTCCAGTGCTTCCTAGTTATGATAAACTTGTGACCTCTTCTAATGACCCATGTGTTCAAATAAATGTGAATTTTATTTGGCTTTCTGATTAAAGCATAGGAATCAATATTAATTAATTTCTCTCACACCAGATAAGTGAGTTTCAGCTAAGCAATCTGACCAGAGTATCTCAGTACAGATTTCTTAGATTCAAGTTATAGGGCATCTTCTGATTCCAATTGTATATTTCTGTTGTACTTTTTAAAGTTAACCCCCCCCCCCCCCCAAAGCAATATATATTCAATACATTATACCCTGGGAGTATTTACTTCTTTAATGTTAAGTATCAGAGGGGTAGCCGTGTTAGTCTGAATCTGCAAAAGCGACGAGGAGTCCTGTGGCACCTTATAGACTAACTGAAGTGTAGGAGCATAAGCTTAGAAAGAAACCAACAGAACACCACTGGCCATCACCTACAGTCCGCAGCTAAAACCTCTCCAACGCATCATTAGTGATCTACAACCCATCCTGGACAATGATCCCTCGCTTTCACAGGCCTTGGGAGGTAGGCCGGTCCTTGCCCACAGACAACCCGCCAACCTGAAGCATATTCTCACCAGCAACTACACACCGCACCATAATAACTCGAACTCAGGAACCAATCCTTGCAACAAACCTCGGTGCCAACTCTGCCCACATATATACACCAGCAACACCATCTCAGGACCTAACCAGATCAGCCCACATCCACCAACGTAATATATGCCATCATGTGCCAACAATGCCCCACTGCTATATACATCGGCCAAACAGGACAGTCCCTACGTAAAAGAATCAATGGACACAAATCTGATATTAGGAATGGCAACATACAAAAACCTGTAGGGGAACACTTCAATCTTCCTGGACACACAATTGCAGATCTAAAAGTAGCCATCCTGCAGCAAAAAAACTTCAGGGCCAGACTTCAAAGAGAAACTGCTGAGCTACAGTTCATCTTTAAGTTTGACACAATCAACTCTGGATTAAACAAAGACTGTGAATGGCTCGCCAACTACAAAAGCAGCTTCTGCTCTCTTGGAATTCACACCTCCAGATCAGCTGCTAGAAGTGGGCCTCATCCTCCTTGATTGGATCCACCTTGTCATCTCCAGCCTGATCCTGGCCTGAATATTTATACCTGCCTCTGGAAATTTCCACTACATGCATCTGACGAAGTGGGTCTTTGCCCACGAAAGCTTATGCTCTTACACTTCAGTTAGTCTATAAGGTGCCACAGGACTCCTCGTCGCTTTCTTTAATGTTGTTAACTTCTAGTCTTATTGAATATTAATGTTGCATAGTTAAGTATGGGTTGATGCTATTTGTTGTCTTCAATTCAAACCTTAAAACAAAACAATTCTTACATTTTCTCACTTTGGCTTTTTAGATAATTCACGAACATATAAAAATGTTTCAGTCTAGTTTTCACATTTAGGGCTCGCTCCTGCAGGATTTAGTAGGAGTTTTGGATGAATAGTGATTGTAGAATCAAACTGTGAAAGATGCAAAGTATGCAAATGTAATAGGTTTCTTTTCTAAACCATGGACTTTATTCTCAGCTGTTGTAAATCAGTGTGACTCCATTGTATTGAATGGAGTCAGTGTTACTACATGGATTTACACCAGGTAAGGATCAGGCTCTATATCAGTTGCAATGTGTTTACAGGTCTTTCCAAATGTCAAGCAGATCCTTAAAAGCTATATTCTGCTTACAAACCTACTGAAAAGATACAGAGAGTACTTACCAAATCCTTTCCCATCATGGCCAATTTCAATTGAATGCAGGTTTCCTAAACTCTTTGTCTTAATCCTGAAGGTGTCAGACTTCAAAATTGAAAAAGAGGCAGCTATTAAAATATAATAAGTCAAAGTCTGGAAAGTAGCATGCTTGTCTAGTTCAGTTCTGAGACATTTCAAATGTAACCGAATGGAAGAAAACTAGATAGCTGACAGTATGAATGCATTACTGCTACTAATGCACAGTCTTTTGGTATAGGCTTTGTGTTGCTAGTCTTCCTTCAGTTTAACATGAAAGATGTTCTACTAAAGTAATATTTGAATAATTCTTATCCTTTTATTGGTTTCCACACACAAGAGAGATGTTTCTGCTTGGTATTTTATGAATTGTCAACCAGATAAAGAAGTAATACCTTTTATTAATTTTGGTTTATGATACACAAACATGCCTCTGAGAATATAAACATAAGTGATTTTTATTCTGTTTACTGTCAGACCTCTCAACTGCTCCACATTTTAGTTCAAAATATTGTTTCATATATCATAGAAGGAGAAACAGCAACTTTTTTCATTAGGGCATTTCTCTGAGAAATAAAAAGGCATCCCTTGCAAGCAACTTCAGGGAATGAAGTTGGATTGCTTCAAGGTTTTCTACCTGTCAGCTCCCAGTGGACATGACAGTTGCTGAATGTTACTAAATCTGCAGGAACAAGCAGATTCTCTCTCTCTCTCTGCTTCTTTTGTCGGCTGCAGCAACAACTTTTCCCACCTCCGCTAACTTGCTGCTCATGGAGAATGCCATATAGATGAAGAGCTACAGAAGACATTGGCAGACAACATGGCCAATGTTACTCACTCTCTATAAATGAAGACGGTTTGGGGTGTTTGGGAGTTCAGCTACTAAGTATAAGATAATGATTTAAAACTCAAGAATAAACCACCCAGACTAGACACAGTCCTCACCTTTCAAGAATCATTAAGGAGAAAATCTGAGGAGGGAGAAAGTTCTATTTCTTGTTTAACAGGAAGCCCCAAGGCCAGGAATGATCAGCAAGATTCCACAGTTCAAGGTAGCCTGTCTCGTGGACAACTGGATTGATACTTATGTGATATTTGCCAGTGTAATGTGTTTTAAAAAAAGGTGGTGGGAGGAGGAAGGGATGAATGTTTTTTTAAGGAATTTGGTCATGATTCAGAGATTCTTGTGGCTATAATATGACACAGAATTTCAGTTTTCTGTAGATAAGCATCTGGAAATGGCTTGGAGTTGAAGGACATTAGACTCTGACCTGAATTCATGGTGACATTTTCTCTCGTTATGTGGCTGCACACCAATTGTGACTGACAGGACTCTTTACACCACCAGATTCCATGACAAAGTTAAATTCTGGGATTTAACAGGGTAATATACTTCCACCCAGCATGCAAATGCAACTATAAGGGTTCCATGTTTGCACAGCAGCAGCAGCAACACACACACTTTGGGTGTGTCTACGCTGCAGACCTTAACTCGAAATAAGCTACGCAAATATATAGCTTATTTCAAAATAGGAAGTGTCTAAACTGCATTTGTTTCAAAACAGAGCACTCTTCTCCCGACTTCACTTCCTCCTTGTACAATGAAGATTACAGGAGTCAGAATAAGAAGTCCTCCAGCTTGACAGTTTTTTGACACTATTTCAAAATAACTGCCTGCTGTGTAGACACAGACTCTGAGTATGTCTACACTTGCACCCTCTTTCAAGAGATTTAAATATCCCGCACTTAATTTGCATACTCACATTCTGGCGCTATTTCGAAATAACAGACGCTGTTAAGATGCGGTTATTTCAAGAGAAAACCCTTCTCTCGAAATAACCATTATTCCTCATACAATGAGGTTTACCAGTTATTTAGAGAGAAGGGTTTTCTCTCGAAATAACAGCATCTGTTATTTCAGAATAGAGCTATTTCGAAATAGCACCAGTACGCAAAATAACAGCATCTGTTATTTCAGAATAGCGCTATTTCGAAATAGCACCAGAACGCAAATATGTAAATGAAGCACGGGATATTTAAATCCCGGCTTCATTCGCAATTTCGAATGTCTTCATTTACATCCCTCTCTCGAAAGAGGGTGCAAGTGTAGACATACTCTAAGTTATTTCAGAATAGCGCTAGTTATTTCAAATAGGTTTGCAATGTAGATATACCCTTTGTATTTATATGATGCCTGTAGAAAAGTAGGCCCAAGAAACAGAAAGGCACCAGAGGCAATTAGAATCACCAGAAGTAAGAAATTCTCCACTTCTACTACAATAGAAGTCCTGGAATAGCTACTGTTGTCACATGATCATTACTTCTACTACAATAGAAGTCCTGGAATAGCTACTGTTCTCACATGAGAAGGCTACTGTCAAGAAGGTTAAAATGTAAGATTGTGTTTCTTTCGGTGGTTTGATGAATATTTTTGAACATTTTATCAAGGGTTTAAGATACAATTTCTAGCCAAACATTTAAGGATAGCTGGGGTCATATCTCACAGTATGACATGAAAAACCATAAGAAGCCGCAGTTCTTCAAAAGTCCTACACATGCATTACCTGTCCAATCTGGAGACAGACATGTCATGTAACAGAGACTCTGCAGTGCTTACCTTTCCTCTTTCAAAAGGATCTTTATGTTCCAGTGAGTTAGTGAGTTGAATTAATTCCGATGAGTCCTTATCCCCAAATAAAATTACATGCACGTTGGCATCTGTTCCTGCTCCCTTCTTGTCACCTGTATACACTTTAATTATGTATTCTGCCAGAATTTCTGAGGGTCTTTTTTCCTTATTTAGAGTGTGATGTATGTAATTTTTGGGTACAATTCCTTCCTTGCTAACAAAAGATATTGGAATCTCTCTTCTTATTTTAGGTGCATGGGGATCCACAGAGAACACTCTGCAAGGCAAAACCATATCCAGTAATGTGAAACAGTAGTATATGTTAAAAACGTGAGTTTCTCTCTACGTGCTGAAGAGATAATTTATCATGGCCAGTAATGTGAAACAGTAGTATATGTTAAAAACATGAGTTTCTCTCTAAGTGCTGAAGAGATCATTTATCATGAATATTTTTGCTAAATACCAGTAATTAAATGTAACAAAAATGACTTTTGATCCACTGCCCGACTGATGTTTTAAGATTAGCTTTAAAAGACTAAGCTTACTCATTCACTTCAAATATGTAGACAGGTTCCTGTTTTAGTGCTTCCTTCAAATGTAAAGATTTAACATCTAGGTTGCAGTCTACAAATAGAAACAAAATACAATTAAGATACGCAATTGTGCATTCAGGATTTATGTGGAATCTGGCAATGATACAGTTATAGCATTCTTATTATACTAAAATATAAGCTTCTTAGTTAATCAAAATAGAGCTAAACTGCCTGCTTCACAAACATGTTGCATCATCTCCTTCTGAAAAGATCTAACTGGAGGATTTCCATTTTAAGTGCCAACTTTTTAGTTTAGGGCAAGATTTCTCTCTGATCCTAGGCAGATTTACAAAGGCATCAGGCTCTCTCCACCCCCTGAATGGGCCATGCAGGTCTGATTTTGAACATGACTGGGGAGGAGGAGGCCAGGAGCTGTGCATCTGATAATCTTCCTGTAGCTGGCTCTCTCCACCCCCTGAATGGGCCATGCAGGTCTGATTTTGAACAAGACTGGGGAGGAGGAGACCAGGAGTTGTGCATCTGATAATCTTCCTGTAGACAGTGTTTGAGGAGAGTGCCTCATACAGCAGTTAGAATGGAGTTCTGTATGGATACAAAATTTTGTATCTGTATCCACATCTGTATCCCCAAAAATGAGCGGTGGATCCACATCCCCGGATACCCATGGATACAAAAGCAGATATTCACAGATTTGCAGGACTGTAAGCTAGAGGCATGGGCCAGAGTGGAAGGGTGAAATGAGCTGCATCATCAAAAGAGATGTTGCAACTTACTTCTCACCCAGCAAAAAATGGGAAAAGAGGAAGGATTGAACGCTGAGTCACAGTTCCTTCCCAAGGCTCCTTCTATGGCATGGTTATTGGTTCTAATTAACTTTGTATGATTAGTATATATTTTCCCTTTCCTCTATAGTGAGTAATCTAGGAATCTTAACAACGTTAATTATCTTAATAAGGCCATTAAGAACTTAGTCCAAGGATGAATTTATAAATGTAGTCCAAGGAAGACTTAATGGCCCAAAACTTAAGGGCCCATTTTGACCATCCTTAGTCATAACAGATGTTATTTTACTACATGAGTAATCCCTGTAAAATCCATGAAAATACTATAAATCAGTAAGGGTGGCAAATCTGGTCACACTTAATCTTGACACTGCCTCTCTGAAGTGTGTAATACAACACACATTTAATTAATGAAAAATTTCAAGCTATTTGTTTAAGATCACAGTGAATCAATGGCTGTCAGGAATAAAACGCAAGAGTCTACACAGTCAGTTTACTGCTTTAACTTCTAGACAGCGTGACTCCTTTACAATGAAAAATAAATCATATAGACAATTATGAAAAATAAAGTCCTTGCTTTACCCCAGAATACTTCATTGTTTTTGGACATGTTTGGAAAAACCTCCTCTCTCTTGTTTTGCCTGCTATCTTTTGGCACAGTTTTACTGGCTGTATTTAGTGATTTAGAGCAGTCAATCATGAACAGCTCTGAGCAATTCATCAACTTCTGTTATTGAAATGAGTGTAAAACAGAAATGATGAACCAAAAAGTAGCTAGCTGCATTAGTAATCATTAATAATATTTTGCTTTTACATTGAATTTTTTGGTCAAAATCTCAGTATGTTTAAAAAACATTAAGTAAACTTCACAATTGTCCTTAGTATTGTTATTACTCCCCTTAAAATTGAGGCTCAGAGAAGATAAAGGCTTGATCTTACTTCCATGGAAGTCAAAACTCCCTTTGACTTAACAAATGCAAGATAATTTCTAAAAGATCCACAGTGAGGGTACGCCTACACTGCAACACTATTTCAAAATAACTAGCGCTATTCGGAAATAACTACACAGCAGGTAGTTATTTCGAAAGAGCATCAAAATACTGTCAAGCTGGAGGACTTCTTACTCTGACTCCTGTAACCCTCATTGTATGAGGAATAAGGGAAGTCAGAGGAAGAGTGCTTTATTTCAAAATAAGTGCTGTGTAGATGCTCCCTATTTTAAAAAAGGTTATTGGCCTAAAGCTATTTATGCTGTGTAGATGCTCCCTATTTTAAAATAGCTTATTGGCCTAAAGCTATTTTGAAATAAGATACCAATTGACGTAGCTCAATTTGTGTGACTTATTTCGAGTTAAGCCCTGCAGTGTAGACGCACCTTGAGAGTCCAGCATGGCTGGGAATATAAACAAAAGCTAGTAAATGCTAGCACAAACCATTAGCTGCTTCCCTCCCTATATTTTCATGGGCTGTATTTAATATTTTCCTAAATCAGTTACTGGGACATAGAGACTTTGTTTAATGTTCTTTTCTTGGCACAGGAAATAGTTTACTTCTTGGATGCAATCAATTATGTGGTCTTTAATAGTTTGTATTTGAACTAGTCAAGACCTAGATCTTTGCCATGTCAGATGAGAATTTAACAACTGCTGGAAGAAGTCACTCTAAACCTGATCTCGCAGTGTGTTCACAGTAACCCATTAACTTCAATAGGAGATATGCTTGTGCAAGCAATGCAGGATCAGGCTCTCTGGATAGTAATTGTTTCTAGCAAAAAAACTTACTTGTTTTGCTGCTGATAAAGAGGACGACTTTATGCAGTTCTCCCAGGTCAACAGCATCCATCTGAGCTGTAAATGACTAAAAAATACATTATCCAGTGATATGATCATAAGATGTATTCAATACACTATTTTATATAGGAAGAAAATAAAAGATTACAAACAGAATATAAATGAATTAATTTAGGAACTTAATAACTTTGAGGTGAAATACCTCATTGTCTTCTCCTTGCAGAGGATTCTGACATGGCCAGCGAAGGGGTCTGTCTCCTGTGTCACCATTGGTTCCATACACACACACAGTCACCAGTTCTACATTCCTCTTGTTCAAAGTATTACTGGCAAACACTGTTATGTGATATGTAATCACTGCAAGAGCAAAAGGAGAGATATCATATCACTACTATAGAACAACTTTCCACAGTATTAAACATTGCAGCAGTGCACAGTCTGATGAAAGAAAATATTTCAAACATTGATAGCGATAATAAAAAAGTGAAGCAGTTATATGTTTTCAACTTTTTTCTTAGTGTTCTTCTGCAACTCCTGTTGACAAACATTAGCAACTGTCATAACCCACAAATGTATGGCATGCAACTTTTGGTTAAAAATAGACCTGTGAGTTTAATTTGGCTTTTCAAGTGGTTAAGGACAGCATCCACATTCTAGAATGAACAAATTGATCCTTTTTACCTGGGAAATAGATAATGGATAAAAAAGATCAATAGGATTCAGGATTCTATGTCACTTAGGGTATATCTACACAGCAAGGCTACGTCTAGACTGGCCCCTATTACGGAATAGGGATGCAAAGCAGGCAAGTTAGAATAGGGAAATCCGCGGGGGATTTAAATATCCCCCGTGGGATTTAAATAAACATGGCCGCCGCTTTTTTCCGGCTTGGGGAAAAGCCAGAAAAGAGCGTCTAGACTGGAGCGATCCTCCGGAATAAAGGGCTGTCAAGATAGAGGACTTCTTACTGTGACTCCTGTAACCTTCATTGTATGAGGAGTAAGGGAAGTCAGAGGAAGAGCACTCTATTTTAAAATAAGGGCTGTGTCGATGCTCCCTATTTCGAAATAAGCTACACAATTGATGCAGCTCAGTTTGCATAGCTTATTTCGAGTTAAGCCTTGCTATGCAGATGCACTCTTACACACTTTTGAAATTTTTATTTGGGTATAGCCAGTATGGACAGTACCTGAGCGCATTTTTAAATGTTAGTTTAAGGAGCAATTCTCAACTGATGCAAATTAATGAATGTCCATTGAACTAAAAATGGCCATGTCAAGTTATACCAGCTGAGAATCTGGCCCTATCCATTTACATTTTCTTTACTGAATTAAATTGTACTCAAGTATTGGATATGGATCACTCTTCAACTTTCAGCCACTCTGTTTGCTGCTGCATGACTGGAGAAGCAGATGCATCTTGCTCTATTGAAAGACATTTGTAGTTTGGGGTAACAGCTGAAACTTATCAACCCCCCTCAGCCTGCTGGTACAGAGTAGCCACCTACATCCTTTGAAAGACTAAGCATACAAGGGTATGTCTACACTACCCTCCTAGTTCGAACTAGGAGGGTAATGTAGGCATACCGCACTTGCAAATGAAGCCCGGGATTTGAAATTCCCGGGCTTCATTTGCATAAGCAGGGAGCTGCCATTTTTAAAACCCCGCTGGTTCGAACCCCGTGCAGCGCGGCTACACGGGGCTCGAACTAGGTAGTTCGGACTAGGCTTCCTATTCCGAACTACCGGTACACCTCTAGGTGTACCTCTAGGTGTACCGGTAGTTCGGAATAGGAAGCCTAGTCCGAACTACCTAGTTCGAGCCCCGTGTAGCCGCGCTGCA